CATGGTATCTTTTGGTATTATTGTTGGGGCTGCTTCTACAAATTTTGCCACAACAAATAATCTCCACAAAGTATATTGTATGTAAATTTGTGGGATAATTAACTTCCAATTCAAATTGGCTCCGTATGGCGTCTTGATATTTTTTTTGAACACTTTACTGTTCATATGTAGAGGATACTTTGGTTTTCAAAATTAATATAAAAAATTGTCAAAACAAAATTTATTCATGTTTGATGTCTTATCACACGAGTTCATATAACATAGAGTATAAATAACATATGATTGAATTAATTATTAAATCACCACAATAAAAACAAGCATAGAGAACCATCTATGACATGCAAGTAGACATAACTACATACTGCTATCCATACAAGCTGCTATAAGGACTAATAAAGAACCAGCAAACCAAACTGAACACAAAAACCATGTTTCTTAGAGTACATGAATTTTGCCAAACAATGTCTTGGCCAAGCGATACATGTAAGCTTGAGTTCGAGTCCAAATAAAAAAATACATGAAATTTGTCTTACATGAATGGCTAAACATGACTTTATTCACAATATCAAATATGCAAATGCTATGAAATGTAGAGTAAACTAGTTCTTCACTGCAAAGTAAAACTGAAAAATAGAGATCCAACCAGTTGACGGCGACATAAAACTGAAAGCTCAAACGATGATAAGCATAATCAAGTATCAACCACCTATCATTGAGGCAAAGAATGAATAAGAATTTAAACAAGAAACTTGATTAAGGAAGTCATAAATACATGGACAGAGGCAGATCAAGATTTTTGTTAGGAAGTAATATTATCCATGAAAATAGTGTTTAAAAGGAAAATTTTGAATGTTTATGGAAATTTTCTTTTAAAATTTCTTATTTTCTAATTTTTAACAGTGTCCCAAAAAAGATATGAGGGTATCCAACACAAAATTTTTCTTTAAATTTTTTTGATTTTCAACGTACACCCCACAATGCCATGTAAATCCACCCACTAGACATGGAAAAAAGCCATATTTACCTGTTTAGCTAACAAGTTTCTCCTTAAATTTTCACTTCCTTGCATAACATCATCCTTGTTTCTCCCAGAGTCATATATAGAGGTATTTGATCTTTCCACTTATGCCAAGATATATCATTGCAGGTGGATTGATTTATCAACTATTTCTTCCATTGCGGTGAACCTTCTGTTGTATTATTCTGAACTTGTTGGGGTTCCTTCACAACAAAAGACAATTCTCATTAAGTTATGCCAGAAGTAAGTAATTAATTAATTAATTATGCATATGACTTGTGTATGTATATAAAAGAGTCATCCAATTCATAATAATATGTAGTTATATACTAAATCCCATTTATTATCATAAAACCCCTTTTTTGCCATCCTTTTTTAAAATCATTTTATTTAGAAATAAAATAAAAATTTTGTGGTTCTAATTTCTCAATATCCAGATAAAATTTAGAAAAATGTTTTTGACTTAGGTATTTTCATGATAATCCTTAAAACCAAAGATAATATTTTTTTCATAAGAAATAATTATTAAGAATCCTTTAATATTTAGGCAGAGTCTCAAAAAATATTTACTTAGGATATTATCTTATTTTGTTTTTAAAAAATAATTTCTTTTATAGTCATCTTTTACTACACTATATATTTTTTAAGAATAGTAAAATGTATGTGATGTAACATGAAGCAAATTAATGATGCAAAGTAAACTAAAAGATAAAATGACCAATTTAATTCATATTATAAATCTTTAACATTATCACTTTATATTTTTTCATTGTTGTTGTTTTTTTTTTTAAATATTTAGTGATAAAATGAAAATATTTTTGTGTTTTAGAAGTAACCTTTGTGCATTATCAACATTATAAAATTTATAAATATGATAATATTAAATTTTTAAGTTCAATTCTCATCATATTTAATTTAATTTTGTATTAAATTTATTTAATTATGTGTTGATTTATTTATTTGATTTAATTCAATGATTTTCTTATATAATACTTTCTTATACTATTAAGTTCATAAAAAAAATTAATAACTAAAGAATTTTCTAAAATTTTCATTGACATAGCAATTTTTTTTTGGAAGTCTTGAAGGCTTGGCAACAAGAGTAGGTTTTTTTGCTTTATAATAACCGAAAAAAGTCATATATAATCCTAACTAGAAATAAGGAGAATGACTATATGGTTTTAATTTGAAATTCAAAACTAGCAATTAAAAATCCCCTCTCCCCATGACCCGAATACCATAATCACTTATTATGATTAGATTTAACAATTTAAAATATGACATGATTATATAATATGAATACAATAGAAAAATAGAATAAGAAAGTGATAGAATTTAAAATTATAATAATAACTATATATAAGTTTAACAAAATCAAAAAAAAAATATTTTATATTTTTATATCGATACAAAATATGACATAATTTTTTGTGCAAAATACGAAACAAATACATGAATTTCATTATATTACACTATATGAATACGTGAATCGTCATGTTTACTTATGATAAACATGGTTAATCAAATTTTTTTTAATTATATTAAGAAAAAATGAAAAAAAAAGTATGTAAACATTAAGTTGCTAGCTATAAATTATTAGCCTAAAACACGAATGGTTTATATTTTGAATTTTTTTGTCCATGGAAATGCATTTTTTTAATAATAAATAATAAATCAATCAATCAATCTAGTAATGAAATAATTAAAAATTTAAAACTAGAGAAAATATTCACATGTATGCAAATGCATCTTCATAAATTAATTTCATTTCACACTGTTCAAAAAGAATGATATTCGATATATAGCTAGATCAAGACAACGAGAATTTGGATGAAATATGGACAATCTTCAATTAATTAACAAATCAGTGAAAATATGTTTATATTGCCGAAATCAATAAAAACTAAAAGAAATATAATAAAAAAGGCCAAAACCTTTTGTCCCTTTCATAATAATGCTCCTTCCAACAATGTTTTATACCTTGGCCTTTGAGGAAAGTGATGGCCTGGAGTAGCATGCTGTCTTCTTCCAAATTAACCACCCAAAAATTCCCACTAATTAGACGAATAATAAAAAATTATAAAGATCTCAGTGAAATTTAAAAAATTATATTGATGTAAAAGTTGAATTACATAATAGTATTTTTGCCATTTACATGTTTTGATTTGGTTTATATTTTTAATTTTCCTTTTTAAATGTCCATGAATTCATCATCACTATTGCAATGGTATCTTTTGGTATTATTGTTGGGGCTGCTTCTACAAATTTTGCCACAACAATAATCTCCACAAAGTATATTGTATGTAAATTTGTGGGATAATTAACTTCCAATTCAAATTGGCTCCGTATGCGTCTTGATATTTTTTGAACAGTATTTTTTGAACACTTTACTGTTCATATGTATAGGATACTTTGATTTTCAAAATTAATATAAAAAATTGTCAAAACAAAATTTATTCATGTTTGATGTCTTATCACACGAGTTCATATAACATAGTGTATAAATAACATATCATTGAATTAATTATTAAATCACCACAATAAAAACAAGCATGGAGAACCATCTATGACATGCAAGTAGACATAACTACATACTGCTCATCCATACAAGCTGCTATAAGGAACTAATAAAGAACCAGCAAACCAAACTGAACACAAAAAACCATGTTTCTTTAGAGTACATGAATTTTGCCAACAATGTCTTGGCCAAGCGATAAGAAGAGGATTTATGAGACATGTAAGCTTGAGTTCGAGTCCAAATAAAAAAATACATGAAATTTGTCTTACATGAATGGCTAAACATGACTTTATTCACAATATCAAATATGCAAATGCTATGAAATGTAGAGTAAACTAGTTCTTCACTGCAAAGTAAAACTGAAAAATAGAGATCCAACCAGTTGACGGTGCCATAAAACAGAAAGCTCAAACGATGATAAGCATAATCAAGTATCAACCACCTATCATTGAGGCAAAGAATGAATAAGAATTTAACAAGAAACTTGATTAAGGAAATCATAAATACATGGACAGAGGCATATTCAAGATTTTTGTAGGGAAGTAATTATTATCCATGAAAATAGTGTTTAAAAGAAAATTTTGAATGTTTATGGAAAATTTCTTTTAAAATTTCTTATTTTCTAATTTTAACAGTGTCCCAAAAAAATATGAGGGTATCCAACACAAAATTTTTCTTTAAATTTTTTTGATTTTCAATGTACACCCCACAATGCCATGTAAATCCACCACTATACATGGAAAAAGCCATATTTACCTGTTTAGCTTAACAAGTTTCTCCTTAAATTTTCATTTCCTTGCGTAACATTATCCTTGTTTCTCCCAGAGTCATATATAGAGGTATTTGATGTTGCCAGCCACGATCCCAAAATATATCATTGCAGGTGGATTGATTATCAACTATTTCTTCCATTGTGGTGAAACCTTCTGTTGTATTATTCTGAACTTGTTGGGGTTCCTTCACAACAAAAGACAGTTCTCATTAAGTAAGTTATGCTAGAAGTAAGTAATTAATTAATTAATTAATTATGCATATGACTTGTGTATGTATATAAAAGTCATCCAATTCATAATAATATGTAGTTATATACTAACATAACTTTGTTTCCATCATCGTTTCATCATTAGTATCAATATGATCAAGAACAACAAATTAATTAATTCAGCATAATAGTTAGAAAAAAAAAAATTGGTTAGGTACCTCTGTTACCTCTGTTATGGCAGGCACAGGATGTTTTGAATCCATGATGACACTTCTGGTCAACTTGGGAGATTTGGTTATTTCAAACAACCTCATATAAGGGAATCGGAAATGACAAACCAGTTGGAGCAAAACTCTTTAGGTCTGATAGCTCAGAAAGATCCACTTTTTGTAATTGAGAGAGCACTATTCCCTTTGATCATCTTCAATGTCTAGTCACCTTGATACCCAAAAACTTGCTCTAGTTTAGAAGGCCCTTTAATTTCAATTCTCTCGAGGTTGGCAAAAGAACGCGGCGACACTAATAGGAAACAAGCTTTTCAAATTTGCTGCACCCAGAAATAGATATAAATTCAAGACTAGGGAAGGAGTATAGGTTGGAGATGACTCTGTGATGATGATAGCTATTGAAGTTTGGTCCATTTCAATGATTTCTTCCAACTCCTCACAACACTTTATTTTCAAAGCTTTCAATTGCGGCATATTTGGAGCAAGCATAGAAGAGAAGAGAGATTTCAGCCTTTTACAACTTGACACTTTTAAGTCTTTAAGATAAGGAAGGCTTGCAACTTGGATGGGACCCTGCAACTGATGTATACCCTTTATATTTAAAATCTCTATCTTTGAGAACAAGTGTCTGCCTTGAATTTGAAATACATTCTCCCAATTAATAGTGTCACACACATTGTCTTGTCCCAACTCAGAGATTCGTAACTCCTGTATAAATATAAAAATATCATAATTTCATTAAATTTTGAATAAATTACAATGGACAAATAATATATGAGTTTAAAAGTACAAAATCTAATATATATAAGTACGTTTATGTGAGTAACCTCTCTTTATGACATGTAGGGATAATGTTTATATTATTATATTATATATCAAATAACTCCATTTAATAAATTATTTAAATTTAATATTTTTGAATATTATTTAAATTCAAATCAAAATCTATAAAAAAATTTTTTGCATAAATTTTAAATTCAAATATATTAAATTATAATTTATTTTTTCTTTTTAAATTAATCATAGTTCCAAAAATATATATGTATTTATATGGTTAATATATTTTTATCTACCATCAAATAATTCTATTTAATAGATTATCTAAATTTAATATTTTGGGTAACTATTTAAATTCAAATCAAACTCTAACAAAGGTTGAAAATTTTGCATAAGTTTTGCATTTAAATGTATTAAATCATAATTTATTTTTTTTAAAATTTAATCATAATATATATATATACACACTTAATACATTTTTATTTGATGAAATCAGAATCTAAAATTGAAATAAAGAGTTTATAAAATGAGAGGTCACCTTCTAACCAAGCTTATTTTATTTATTGTTATTAGAATTGGAAATTGAAGAATACAAGCCTTTTTTTTTTTACTTGACAGTTATGATTTATTGGTTTTGCATGGGAATGGACAAAGTTAGAAAGAAGAGTAAACCACATCATACCGTGAACAAGTTCATTTTTGCCTTTATTATTCTCTTTTTTCTTTTATTTTCTTTTTTATTTGCAAAAATCAATATGTGATGGTGTTGGATTGTTTTTACTTTTGTATATTTTTTGCTTAATGACATTGATTTTTTTATCAAATTTCAATAATGGAAAGAAAACTACATACATTTGGGATTGATTTCAACTCCGGTAATAGGTATGGTTCATTACTTTTTTTCCGTATTTTATTTTTTTTAATTTCCTCCATTTGTTTTGTACCCTTCAAACTATTTATTTGGTCTTATTTCTATTATATGCATATATACATTTGATTTTGATTTATTCTAATAAAAATTTTGATTTACTATATTTTATATAGTTAGTTAAGTGGGATATTTGTTCACGCATAAGGGTCCAAAAGGAGAATTTCATAAGCAAATTATGTGGTTGAAAGTATGTAAAAAATAAAAACTAATAAAAGCAATGGCTATGAACAAATAATAATATAATATGCTTTATTGTTTCAATAAAATTTATATATAAAAGAAATTTTATTATTTGATGTTTTATTTTTGGTTCGGGGTTTATAGATTTAATAGTTTATGAATATTCTATTAATATAAATGTCTTTTACAATTTAATAAATGATTTTTTTTATATCCATATTAATATTATTCATAAAAATTATTAATTTTGACTATTAAAAGACTGACCCTTGCTTTTTTTTTTTTTTATCAAAAAATAAATAATTAGTAACAAAATTTTTGGTGTTTAGCAAATAAATAAAAAAATTAATTTTTTGATAGAAAAAGAAGGACTTTTGAAATTTTGTAAAAAATTAAACTTAAAACAACAATATGTGAATGCTATCATTTAAACGTATCTTAAAATTTATGAATGTATGATTATATATAGTTGATTAATAAAAGTTTAAATATTCTTTTATTAAGGAAATATAAAAAATTAAAGTTAATTAAAAAATAAATTTAAATTATGAAAATAATAACACGGTTAAAAAGCTAGTATATATGTAAACAAATACCATTCTCAAGATTTTATTATAATGTACAAATTATATGTATGTATGCATATATGTATGCATGCCAGCAGTTTGAATTCCCATCCAAATTGGATTTCATTAAATTAAAATAGTAGGATGGCTAAATTACACACAATAATAATGTAAGGGCTTAAGTGAAATTTTGATTACAATATGGTTAGAGAGCTTATTTTATTATTTTGCCATTACTTAACAAGGTTTTTTTTTTTTTTAAATAACAAACAAGTTTAACTAAGCCTTGAATGAGTTGAACATAAACATTGTTAAAGATGAGAGTTCAACATAAGTCTTGAATGATTTATTCTAATTTTTCTAATATAAAACTTACATAAGAACCCCTTTTTGAAAGAAATTCAAACATTGATTATTTTATGAGTATAGAAAAGATTTGGGCCAAGGTAAAATCTCAAACCATAATGTAAGGAAAGGAGTATAAAATTACCTTTAGTTGAAGCCGTTTGTGGACTAGTTGAATAATGAACTTTGCAAATCGAGGACAAACCACTATGGTTAACTTCTCCAATGATGGTGGCAGAATGGCATTATCAACTCCATTATTTTCTTTTGCCATATTGAAGACATATTGTAGTCTTGGACAACA